CCCCTTCTTAAAAACCTCCAGTGATAATGCACCCACAACTTCTAGTGGCAAAGCTGTTCTACTGGTTAATTGTCCTCACCGTTAGGAAGTTTCTCCTGAATTCCAGCTTGCTTCTCTCCTTGGTTAGTTTCCATCCATTGCTTCTTGTCCTGCCTTCTGGTGCTTTGGGAAGTAAGTTGACCCCCTCTTCTTGGTTGCAGCCCCACAAATATTGGAATATTGCTATCATGTCACCCCCATTTTTCGTCTTTTCTTTAGACTAGCCAAACCCAGGTCCTGCAGCCATTCTTCGTATGCTTTAGTCTCCAGGCCTTGGATCCTCTTAGTTGCTCTTCTCTGAATTTTTTCCAAGGTCTCAATATCTTTTTGTAGCCTGGTGACCGAAATTGGCTGCAGTATTCCAGGCGTCGTCTCTCTTCTTTGTGGCAGCCCCTCCAATAAAGGAACTCTGCTAGTTCTTTTCACTAGACTCGAGGTACCCAATTCCTGCCATTATAGAGGTTGTAGAGACGACTGGCCTATGGCAACAGTTCCAAGGAAAACTGGCACCTATCCTGGGTTGGGGGTCAATGGACAGCAGAAAAGTCCTTGGACAACATTCTCCTGAGTCAGGAGATCTGGAGAAGATCTTTTCAAAGACACGGTGAAGTCCCAAAGCCTTGACAATTCTTCTCTGATCCAGATTCTGGCCTCATGGTGGCATCTAGCTAAACTTGACTCACCTTGAAAAGTCAAGCCAGGCCAAATCTATTATGTGGTTAGACGGGAGAGGGTTAGAACATGGAAGGCTAGCTTGGAAGTTTTAATAAAAGTTGTTCCCTGTTTAAAGTTACCTACCCTGGAGAAAAAAGACAATGGCCAAGCCCTGTGGCCAGAAAAATGGGGGCAAAACTCACTTAACAACTCTTTTGCTTAGCAACAGAGAGTTTGGGTTCAATTGTGGCTGTAAGCTGAGGTCAACCTATTCTCACTCCTTAGCTCTTCTGGGTTCCTTGAAGACTGATGGAGAAGGATCATTCCTAGAGCAAAACTTACAAAGAGGAAACTTCCAGCCCAGAGGGTGGATGCCTAAGAAGCATTTCTAGAGCAATGACTTTTTAATTACGAATGTCTTTCTCCCTCCAAAGAGGGCAAGAGCTGGAAAGATTGGCCTTTCTCCTTGTGGTATTGATTTACTATTTTCTGTGAACTCCTTGCCATTAGGGAGAAGAAGAAAAAGAAAGAAAGAAAGGAAGGAAGGAAGGAAGGAAGGAAGGAAGGAAGGAAGGAAGGAAGGAAGGAAGAAAGAGAAAGAAAGAAAGAAAGAAGAAAGAAAGAAAGAAAGAGAAAGGAAGGAAGGGAGGAAGAAAGAAAGAAAGAAAGAAAGAAAGAAAGAAAGAAAGAAAGAAAGAAAGAAAGAAAGAAAGAAAGACAACTTAGAAGCAGTAATCCTGGCTGCGGTGATCGCAAAAGTTGAAAATGAGCTGAAGGCAATTTTCCAACGATCCCCTTTTGGATGCAGCAGGGAGAGGAACCACCCATGGAGGAGGTGGACCAAGCAATAAGGATTCTAGATGAGAAGACAACTCTGGTGTGAGAAGGTCAGGGGAGCGGAGGATTTATGAGGAGGAGATACACTGGGAGTCATTCTGGACTGGTTACGCAAAGAGGACAAGACGAGGGAGGTTAGCTGGAGACCTGATGGGAAACGTTAACTGTGAGCAAGGATGATTTGAATTTCCTAAAGAGTTCAGAGAGTCAATCTCAAAGGTTGTTGTTGTTTCATTAAGCTTTTTTTTTTTTTTTGGCAACTGCGTGCTTCTTTTGGGCAGGTGTTTAGGAGAGAGTGTTTTTGTGGGAGGAGGAGGAGGAGGTGGAGAAGGAGGAGAAGGAGAAGGACTGTTGGCTTCTTGGTGCTCTCTGAGCTTGGTGGTTTCCTTGTAGATGTTTCATAACCCAACTAGGGAATATCATCAGTGCTAGAAAGGAGTAGAGTTTGGGGAGTAGGAGAAGGAGAAAGAGAAGGAGAAGAGGAAAAGGAGGAGGAGAAGGAAGTGGAGAAGGAGGAGGAGAAGGAGAAGAGGAGAGAAGAGAAGAGAGGAGAGGACAGGAGAGAAGAGGAGAGAAGAGAAGAGAAGAGAAGAAACAAGAAGAATTCTTTATTGGCTAGGAGAGGCTAGGATGAAGGAGAGATTCAACCTGGAAATAAGGAGAAATTTTCTGACAGTGAGAAGAATCAACCAATGGAACAGGAGTTGCCTTCAGGAGTTCTATTCTATTCTATTCTATTCTATTCTATTCTATTCTATTCTATTCTATTCTATTCTATTCTATTCTATTCTATTCTATTCATAATTCGAGGTTGCTTCTCTCCTTGGTTAGTTTCCATCCGTTGCTTCTTGTCCCGCCTTTGGATGCTTTGGAGAATAGCTTGACCCCCTCTTCTTTGTAGCAGCCCCTCAAACTGAATAAATGAAATTAACTAATCAATAAAAAAGAGGGATTGGCCTCCCTACAAGATAGAAAAAAGGAGACTGCAGCTTGCAGGTGAGATGGCAACCAATTAGAATATGCCAGATCATCTGCCTCGCTAACTGTTTTGTAAAAGTATTTGGGAGATATCCTAAGGAGAGGCAAGTACTGTATTTGTGAAGTTAGGGAATGTTGTGATCAGAAAGTGTTTTGGGGAGTTTTGGACGTGACCTGGATGCCCAGCTTCTTGGTCAAACTTGTGCTTACTTAGGAAAATGTATGTTATGTATGTATGTATTTTCTCTTTAAACACCGACCTTCCATTGCCATTAGGGGGAGCTTTAGTGATCTTCCAAGATACACACAGCAAAGGCAGATACACACACACACACACACACACACACACACACACACACACACACGTGTTTGTGTGTGTGCTGTGTTGTGTTTATATACAAACATGCAACACTCACCCCCTCACAGATTGATGCGGGCATGCCCATCAACCCTAAATATCCCAGTGGAGGCAACAGAGTTCTCTAAGAACTGATGGTCATTTTAGGTACCTGTGAGATTATAATTTGGGAGAAGGAAGATAGAAGGCAGGTTAAGATACTGGAGTCAAATGTGCTATTAGGAAGGAAGTAAGGAAGTAAGTAAGGAAGTAAGTAAGTAAGTAAGGAAGGAAGGAAGGGGAAGGAAAGAAAAGGAAGGAAGGAAAGAAAGTGAGAGAATGTTTTTTTTAATCTTTTTTTTTATTCAAAAATTCAGCCTTGCTCAGTTTCTGTTTGGTGTTTTTCAAATTAGAAACTTATAAATTAAATTAAGAATTTCCCTCTCTCTCTCTCTCTCTCTCTCTCACACACACACACACATACACACACCCTTTCTCTCCCTTTTTCTCTCCTTCCCCCCTCTTTCTCTCTCCCTTTTTCTCTTTCCCTTTTTCTCTTTCTCTCTCCCTCTCTCCCTTTCTTTCTCCCTCTCCCTCTTTCTCTCTCCTTTTCTTTCTCTCCCCCCCACCCCACCCCAAGTTGGGGAAGAAGAAAAATTAAGGCAGAGAGAGGCAGTGAGCGTCAAATTTCAAGACTTTTTTTTTACTGTGGGACAAAAAAAATTAAAAAGGGGGGGAGAGATTATAGCAACACTGGGGAGGGGGTGTGGCCCACTCAAAGTGAGGGCAATACTTGGGGGGCAAAAGGCAAAAGGTCAAGAATATGAGCTTTGGAAGGATCTCAAAACAGAGGTGGAGGTGAAATGTTACAAGGGGACTTTTTTTTCTTCTTCTCCGGTTTGAATTTGTCTCGGAATAAAAGAGTCCCGTGAGAGGACCGGCCCGAAGACTTTAATCTAGCCCTTCTTTTCTGATCACCCCCTCCTTCCATTTTCTCCAGTGATGGATTAGTCATTATTCTTTGCTGGGTGGGTATCTTGCGCCCTCCTTTTTTGGCGGGGGGGTGGAATAAGGAGAGATATCCCCCCAAAAAAGAACACGACCTGCTCGGCAATTTCTTGTTTACTCTTCCTTTTGATTGCCCCTCTCTTTTCTTTCATTTAAGTGGGGGGGGGAAGAGGGGAGGGAGGCTGAGAGAGAGGGAATGAGTTTGTGAGAAAGATTGAGGGAGGGAGGCAGGGAGGGAGGGAGAAGGAGAAAGATTGAGAGAGGGAGGGAGGAGAAAGAGGGAGAGGGAGAGAGGGAGAAGGAGAGAGATTGAGGGAGGGAGAGAGAGGGAGCGGGAAAAGGAGAGGGAGAGAGGGAGGGAGGGAAAAGGAGAGGGAGAGAGGGAGGGAGGGGGAGGGAGAAGGAAAAAGAGAGGGAGAGGGTGAGAGAAAAGGAGGGAGAGGGAGAGAGGGAGGGAGGGAAAAGGCGAGAGATGGAGAGAGGGAGGGAGAAAGAGAAAGAGAGGGAGAGGGAGAGAGGGAGAAGGAGACAGATTGAGGGAGGGAGGGAGAGGGAGCGGGAAAAGGAGAGGGAGAGGGAGAGAAGGAGGGAGGGGAAAGGAGAGACATTGAGAAAGGGAGGGGGAGGAAGAAGGAGAAAGAGGGAGAGGGTGAGAGGGAAAAGGAGAGAGAAGGAGAGGGTGAGAGGGAGAAGGAGAGAGAGAGAGAGAGAGAATAAATGAAACGAATCGGAGCATCTCACGCGCGCCCAGACTCTTTGAGTGGCTGTTGCTGTTTCAGGGGGAGCCAACGGGGGCCGCGAAAGAGAGGCGGTTAAATTTCATTTTATTTTGAGAAGGGTGGGTGAAGAAGAAAAAAAAAAAGAGAAAGAGAAATTTCAAAACCAGAGGGGGGCGGGGGGGGAGAGAAAGCCGCTCGGCTGTGGTGGTGGTGGGGGCAACAAAGAGAGAGAGAGAGAGGGAGGGAGAGAAAGAGAGAGGGGGGCGACAGAGAGAGAGCGAGAGAGAAAAAGAGAGCGAGAGAGCGAGAGCCAGAGAGAGAGAGGGAGAGAGCGAGAAAGAGGGAGAGGGAGGGCGAAGAAGAGTGAGCGAGGAGGAGAAAGAGAGAGAGAGAGAGCGAGGAAGAGAGAGTAAGGAGGAGGAGGAGGAGGAGAGAGAGGGAAGAAAGAGGGAGAAGGCAACGGGAGAAGCCTTATAAAAAGCGCAAGTCGCCAAGCAGGGCGCAGGAAAGAAAGAGAGCGGGAGAGAAGTCCGAGCGAGCGAGCGAGCGAGCCGAGCCGAGCGGAGCCGCGGGGAGGTGCTCGCAAACTGGCAGGCGCCGCCGGCGCGAGCGCTCGGCCGGGCGAGAGCGGCGGGCGAAAGGGCGCGCGGCGATGCGGCGCTGGGCTCTCCTGCTCCTGCCTCTCGCGGTCGTGTGCGCGGCAGCGGCAGCGGCGGCAGCGGCAGCAGCGGCGGCAGGCCACGCCGGTGGCGGCGGCGGCGGGGGCGGCGGGGGCGCCGAATGCGGGCTGGAGGAGCGCTCGAGGCGGGCGAGGCGGGCCACTCGGCGCCAGCAGCACCAGCAGCAACGGCAGCAAGCGCTCCTCTGGCGCTACCCCGCGCCGGGCACCTGCGGCACCAGGTTAGCCCGGGGTAGGCGCTCTTTCTCCCCGTCTTCCTCCTCGTCTCCTTCTCCTTCTCCTCCTTCTTCCTCCTCCCCGGCGGCCGGCGGGCTGGAGCTGCCGCGCGTCCCCAGGCGCCGGAGGCGAGCGCCGGACGAGGGCCCGGGGCCAAGCCAGGGCCGCCAGTCCCCGACCCCGCCGAGCAGGGCGTTCTACTTCCGTGGCCAGGGCGACCAACTGCGCCTGAAGGCGGAGCTGGAGATACCCCGGGATGCCTTCACCGTTCAGGTCTGGCTGCGGCCCGAAGGGGGGCAGAAGGCGCCGGCTGTGATTGCAGGTAAGGAGGCTGACGGGGCTGGGGGGGGGCGCGGGGAACCCGTTTGGCAGTGCCCGAAGTTGGAGGGCGCACGGTTGGGGATGACAGGAGAGGCGTTGGGGGGGGGGTTCCTTTTGGCACAGCCCGAACTTGGGGGGCGCACGGTTGGGGATGAGCGGGGAGGCGAGTGAAGGAGGGGGCCGTTTGGGGCTGCCCGAAGTTGGGGGGCTCACGGTTGGGGATGACAGGGGAGGCGTTGGGGTGGGGGTATCCTTTTGGCACAACCCGAACTTGGGGGGGGGGCGCACGGTTGGGGATGAGCTGGGAGGCGAGTAAAGGGGGGGGACGTTTGGCGCTGCCCGAAGTTGGGGGGCGCACGGTTGGGGATGAGGGGAGGCGTTGGGGTGTCCTTTTGGGGGGCGCACGGTTGGAGATGGCAGCTGCGCGCGGGTGCTTCTCGCAGGGGACGGCTGCTTTGCGGCCGCCGAAGAGACGCAGGGAGAGGGGGGGTCTCCTGAGCGGGGTCTCGGCTTGGGAAAAGGGAGGCGGGTGGCGTTCTACAGCGACGGCGACAACAACAGAGCCACGTGCTGTTGTGTCTCGACGTACGCACGGGCGAGCTTGTCTGCTGGCGTTTTTTTTTTTTTTTTTTTTTTTTGTGAATGGACCGAAGAGACCCCGCGAAGCGTCGCGGCGGAGGAGCGCAGAGGCTCTCTCCGCCCGCCCGCTCGCTTTCCCACGACGTGGGGAGAGCCTTTGCCCAGCTCGTGGGGCTGGCTGGCTCCCTTCCCTAGTGGGCTCCGCTGCTGTTTGCTCCCCGACTTTACGACTCCGGGACTTCGCAGCTTAGCGATGCAGCGAGGCTAGGAAGCGCGTCTGAACGGGGGAGGCGGGGAGAAAGAGAGTTAGGGGTCAAAAAAAAAAAAAAACCAACCGGGAAGGGATGGAGGTGGTCCCGGATGAGGGAAGGGGAGAAACAGAAGCGGGGGACCCCCTCCCTTTCGCCTTCTTGCGGGGGGGGGGCCTGAGGCAGCAGCTGGGTGAGTCCGGGCGTCATCCTCGGGGACCCCCGTTTCCAAGGACACGGACGGGCCAACGGGGAACGTCTGCACGCCCCCAACGGGAGTCAGAGCCGGGGAACCGCGGGAGCTTGGCTCCTGCATCCAATGACGCACCAGATCGCGCGCGCCTCTTTCCTCTGGAGGGGGAAAAAAAAAACTCGATTTTTTAATTTTTTTTTTTTACCTTATTAGTGTCAAGTTAAGTTTGGGAGAGCCGCCCCTCCCCTCCTCCCCCCCTCCCTGTGAATTCCTAAGCGGGAAGAGACGGGGGGGACCTGAAGCGAGAGAGAATATCGGGAAAAAGCAGCTTTTTTAAAAAAAAAAATTGTTATTGTTATCGTTGGCTTAGGAGAAGGCTGCCGGGGAAGGAGTGGGGGGGGGTGTTGGGGGGGCGCTGGGAAGGACGGACGGACCGTCTCCTTCGAGGTTTGGCTTGGTGGGGGGGGGACAGTGGGGGGGGGGGCGTTTCGCCTCGCGAGGATCCGCAACAAGAGTTCCGCTCCGGCCCCCGTGTTGCTTTCTCTGGGCGTGTGGCTTTTGTCAAATAGCTTGGCAATTGTGGTTAACCTTTGCAAGGGGAGCTTTAATGGTGCGGGGCGAAGCGTGTTTACTCAGGAGTCAATCCGGGTTGCTTGTAAGGCAGTGGGGGCCCCCGGAGGGAAAGAAAGAAAGAAAAAATAATAATAATCTTGCTTGGCATCCTAACGTCAAATAAACCAAGTCAGGACCAGGGTTTCTATCCCCGAGCAATCGTAGCTTCTGTTGTCAGCATGAGTTGCTCTCCCCACACACACACATGCACAAGGCACACGCACACCTCCCCTGACTCTCCTCCTCTCTCCAACGGGCTGCGGATGATGGGAGCTGGACTCTACCTCCGGAATACACCTTTTGGGGTCTAAAGGCACCGCCTGCCTCTTGCTGCGTGCAGGGATTTAAACATAAACATATGCAGACAGCTTGCAGCATTTTTGAAATTCCTTCCAATTTAGCAACTGTACGTCTCTCGTTGCAAAGGAAAAAAAAAAGCTTTTTGTTTGCTTCTACCAAGCTTCCTCCTTCTCTTAGTTTGGGTGATTTTAAAGTGCAGGCTTTTGTTCCCCCCCCCCCCCGGAAGACTTGGGAGTTGCAAAACCCAAAGGGGAAAAAGGGTTTGAAGGATTTCAAATCTGGCATCCAGATCTGGCTCGCTCCGTCCAGGGAAGACCTCTTCCTTGCGGGTGCTAGCACCACACTTGAATCTTGACAAGTTGGAAGAATGTGGTTGGGTCATGAAGCTGGCCAAAGTTCTCCGACTCGCCTTTGATAAAAAATAAAGGAGAATAGTTGTGGCTCAGGGTTGACATGAGGCATCCTTGGTGCTCTCTGAGCTTGGTGGTCTTCTTGCAGATGTTGCATGACCCAGCTTGGTAACATCATCAGTGTTAGAAGGGAGTAGGGTGTGTGGAGGAGGAGGGGGGAAGAGAAAGAGGAAGAGGACTGTGGGGTCCTTGGTGCTCTCTGAGCTTGGTGGTTTTCTTGCAGACATTTCGTGACCCAAACTAGGTGGCATCATCAGGGTTCGTCCTAGTTTGTGACCTAGTCTGAGTCAGGACAAGTCTGCATGGAGTCTAGTTGCTAGAGCTTAGGAATAATTACTTAATTAATTAATATTTGTTGGCCAACCAACAAACGCAGTGGCGTTTAATTGCTAGAAACTAGGAATAATTAATTAATCAATTCAATCCAATCAATTAATTAATATTTATCGGCCACCCAATTCCAGTGGAATCTAGTTGCTAAAGTCTAAGAATAATTAATTAATATTTGTTGACCAACCAACAAATCCAGTGGCGTCTAGGAATCATCCATCCATCCATCCATCCATCCATCCATCCATTAATTAGTATCTATTGGCCACCCAACTCCAGTTTAATCTAGTTGCTAAAGTCTAAGAATAATTGCTTGATTCGTTGATATTTGTTGGCCAACCAACAAACCCAGTGGCGTCTGGTTGCTAGAAACTAGGAATAATCCATCCATCCATCCATCCATTAGTATTTATTGGCCACCCAACTCCAGTTTAATCTAGTTGCTAAAGTCTAAGAAGAATAATTGCTTGATTCGTTAATATTTGTTGGCCAACCAACAAACCCAGTGGCGCCTAGTTGCTAGAACCTAGGACGATTCAATCCACCCATCCATCCATCCGTCAGTCAACCAACTAATTATTTGTTGGCCAGCCAACCCCAGTGGAACTAGTTGCTTAAAGTCTAAGGATAATTGCTTGATTCATTACTATTTGTTGGCCAACCAACAAATCCAGATCCTAGAGCCAGCGTAGGATTGCTTTGCATCCCCCCCCCCCCGAGCTCGCCTGCAACAGACACCCCACGACTGGGCCCGGCTCACTGGGTAAGTCTTTATCTGAATGCCCTGGAGCTGACCTAGAGGACTGTCTCCCCTCACTCAGGGTAGGAAGCAGCAAAACAACCTCCAAAAACTGGAGCCCCCTGCCAGTTGCCCCCCGTTATTTTTTTTCCTTAGGGGGGGAAGAAAGTCCCGCTTCATACCTCCCACCCTGTCCTTCTGAAGAACTGACAGAGTCAAGATCCAATCCTACTTTGTCTCCCCCCAGACAGCCCTGGTCCCCAGCATCACCTTCCCCCAACCCCTGGCTGGGATGGGGTCCCTGGGCTGTGCCTCCTCTTGCTTGGTTTCTGGCCTTTGCTTGCCCCCCACCCCACCCCGAAAGTTGAGAGGCGTAGAAGTTCTCTTTCTCTGCCTGTCCTTGCAGGGAGGGCGGGAGGAAAAATTGACGCCAAGCCAGGTTTGGCTGGATGTAGAAACTTTTGGGCTTCTGCCAAAGAGCCAGTCTAGCCTTTTGCCAAGGGGTGTGTGTGTGTGTGTGTGTGTGTGTGTGTGTGTGTGTGTGAGGCTTCCTCCTGCCTTCTCGTTCAGATCCACAGCTTCCAGACAATCCAGAATTTGCTTGCCCTTCCTCTAAAGACAGGTCGCTGGAAGAGGGTGGCAGAGATCCTAAAGAAGGATCAACTTTGGGGCCAACCCAACACTGAGCAGCTGGTCTCTCCTTTGGCAAGGTCACCACCGCCTGGATTCCTTGTGTCAGGGAGCCGGCTTGGAAGAGGCTGAAAACTGCTTCCAATTAGAGGCGCTTTTATCAGACGCTCCCATCGTCTGACTCAGGCAGGGGGTGACCGAGTTGCTTGTGTTCCTGTGACCTGAGATGTGACAAGCCGGCTTTTTTAAAAAGCAGTAAAAAGACACACACAGCAAAAGTGCCCCACACTGAGTTGGATACCTCTCTTTCTGCTTATGGACACCATCTGCCTGAGGGATCCTTCCTTGCTCTTTACCTAGAATGGCGTGCCAATCTGGATCCTTAAATGGATCTGTTCGGTCTAAAAGAAGCCAGGCTGGAGGAAAAAAGGCAGAGGAGGGAGGAGGAATAATAAGAACCGTGAGGACTGATGTAGTTTTCCCCCCTCTCTCTTTAGTTAATTTATTTGTTTAAAGAAGAAGAAGAAGAAGAAGGAGGAGGAGGAGGAGGAGGAGGAGGAGGAGGAGGAGAAGAAGAAGAAGAAGAAGAAGAAGAAGAAGAAGAAGAAGAAGAAGAAGAAGAAGAAGAAGAAGAAGAAGAAGAAGAAGAAGAAGAAGAAAAGAAGAAGAAGAAGAAGAAGAAGAAGAAGAAGAAGAAGAAGAAGAAGAAGAAGAAGAAGAAGAAGAAGAAGAAGAAGAAGTTGGAAGGGACCTTGGAGGTCATCAAGTCCAACCCCCTGCTCAGGCAGGAAACCCTCTACCATTTCAAACAAATGGCTGTCCAGTCTCTTCTTAAAAACCTCCAGTGTTGGAGCATCCACCGCTTCTGGAGGCAGGTTGTTCTAGTGATTAATTGTTCTCACTGTCAGGAACTTTCTCCTTAGTTCCAGGTTGCTTCTCTCCTTGATCAGTTTCCATCCG